TTTTTCTACTTCTTCTTCTTATTGTTATTTGAATTGTTTCAATTGAGTTTAATTCTTTCCTGTATTTAAATTGGAACCTCGGAGTTCAGTGCGTTTATCCAGGAGTTTCGCAATTGGGAATCCGCGTGGGCTCTGGAAGCTTTGTACGTCATTGTTTACGATATTAGGGTTCTTGCGGAGAAGGTAATTTTTGTACTTCGCTATGATATTTTCTCTTTTTCTGGAACTTTGGTTGGGTTGTGTGATTTTTTTTTTTTAATTTTAGGCTGATAAAGAATTGGCTTCCAATGGGAAGTCTCCTGAGAAGCTGAAAGGCGCTGGTTCCGTCCTTATGAAAGTTTTTGGCACCCTTGCGGTATGTGATTGTTTTCGTCAACTCGTTTTCATTTAAAATCAAGTTATATTTTCAAATTTAGTTTGGTACCGATAATTTGAAATCCAAGTTTGTGTCATTGAAGCCTTTATTAAACTCTCGCAGACGATTATTGTAGCTAGGTTTAGTATTTTGCTCTCTCTCTCTCTCTCTCTCTCTCTCTCTCTCTTAATTTATTTATTTTTCTGGCTGCGAAGCCCATAAATAGTGCTGTTGATTTTATATCTTCCGGGAAACTTAGATATAGAAGATAAACACTAGCCATTACCAATATACATGTTTTCGTAAAACATTAGTATGCTTGTTGCTGATAATTTGTCATAATTCAATTTCTTGTCTATTAGAACTAGGTGGAAGAGGAGATAATGGGATTAACACTCATCAAACACGTGAAATTTAGCCGTGGATAACATTTAAATTAAACATAAAAAATGTTTGTTATATATTTCCACTTTATTAAAGTATTATATTTGGTCATCTTAGAACCTAATTGTTCGTGTAGCACTCACAAAACGAATTCTTCGAAGGAAAACAAATTGTCCATGCTTTGTGTTTTCTTTGCGCAACTTATACTTCTATGCTGATTGATTGCTAACTGCTTCAAGTGACAGTGTAGAATTTTTCTTTCAGAGGTATTATACTAAATCATAACTCAATTCCATTCCAGGGAAAAGGCTCTAAGCGTGTTGGAGCGTTATATGTAACTTGTCAATTATTCAAGATTTACTTTAAGGTATTTGTTTCTGTTTTTTCTTCCCTTTTTAACGGTTCATACTTTATGATCTCATTTGTTGATATGCAATGGCACTAATATGAACTTGTATATTGGAGTAATCGTATGTGTGACATGTCCATTGGGATCAGGGAAGGTTGGCTCGGACAGGGATGGCATGACATTTGTGGTTGAAAATTGAAATTAGAGTTTGATTTTTATTCTATGAATTTCTTTCAGCTTGGCACAGTTCACCTTTGTCGTAGCGTGATAAGAAGCATTGAAACTGCACGTATATTTGATTTTGAGGAATTTCCCAAAAGAGACAAGGTTAGAAATGAATTAATTTGTATGAGTTTAATTTTTATGCTGTGTTAATTTGAAGATTTTTGTACTACCAACCAATTAAAAAATTATTTTAGGTACGTAATTCAAAATAGTTGTGTAAAACTCAAGTCAATAACTTTACCATGCACTGACAACCTATGATTGGATGAACTTGTAAAATTTTATACACTTAGTGGATTTTGATTAAATTCAATTTATTATACACATATTTTCTGGATTATCTATCTTTGTGATGTATTTCAGGTTACTTACATGTACTATACAGGTCGTCTCGAAGTATTCAATGAAAATTTTTCTGCTGTAAGTAATCATTATTTCTCATAATTGAA